CTCTTGGAGGAGAGACGAAACGTTTCATTAGAGAAGAACCCGTCCAGAAGACCTATACTATTTTTTTCTTTTTTTTTCCACACAGTTCATTCAAATGAAACACTGATAAGGCATTTATTTGTTATATTTTGAAAAAATTTAATTTTTGTTATTGTTTTAATCAAAACAATGTCTGCCTGTTTCTCCAGACACCAGTTTTAGACTTAATCCTCGTCTCGATGTGATGGCTCACATACGGATATATTGCTACACAAATGCTGTCAGAATGTGTGGTTCTGTTGTGAAGCAGATGATACATGATACACGTGGCTTTTATTTTGAAATCAGAAGTTTCAAAGAGACGACAGCGAGACAGTTTCAACCATATATATCAAAAGGTTTTATATCAATATTTTCAGCTGTGTTTGGAGTTCATCTGTCACAGAATTCATTATGTTTTGCTGTGACGTCTACATTTATCACTGGACTTATTGTACGATCTCCTTCCTGCACACGCTGCTCCTCTGTGTGTCGCACCGGAGAGGAGGTGATGCTGTATAAATAACAGCTGCGACCTGCGCTCCCGTAGTAAAATAGTGTAAATCCAGGGTAATAGTTTGAAACAATGTAACGGTTTCTCTGAAGCACAGAAGAAGAAACACTCCCAGCAGGTTTTCTAAAAGTAAATATATATTTTTTTGTATTTGACCTTTTTGTTGGAGCTTTATGCACATTTAAGGACGCTGAAGTTGCAGACGGTTCCTCTGGGACATCCGCACAGCTTCCCGATCCTGGAACCTTTACGGGCCGCACACTGCTGCCCTGCGTCACACTGAGACACACACACACACACACACACACACACACACACACACACAGGTTGATAAAAAGTGAAAGCAGCAGGAGGAAACGTGACGGTCATGTTCTCACCGGCGGCAGCCAGCCCAGCTTCTTCTCAGACGACGACGGTCGTTTGTTCTGCAGCTTCTCCAGGACTRCCTGCAGAGCTTCAATCTGAGGACGGAACAGAGACGGCGTCAGGCAGGAGAACTGAATCCTGGGACCGGATCGAGTCCAGCACCAGACTCACCAGTGCCTTCTCCTCCTCGGTCTTGATGAGGTGGTCTTGGGGCGATGGCTCCTCCGGCGGCTCGTCGCAGCGCCCCAAAGCCACCAGCAGGCAGCAAGAGGCGCCGAGCAGCAGCAGCCTGCCTCGGACCATGGTTCTGACGGACTCAGGGAGCCGGTCKTCTGCCCGCCCCGCTGGGGTCTGGACGGTTTATAGTGTTTGAGAGCGGCTCCAAGGTCACCTGGACAATATTTACTGAAACATGGAGCCAATCAGGAGGCTCACCTCTGAGGTCAGACCTGTGCTCCATCAAACAGGAAGTGACGCACCGCCCCGCACCTCGTGACGTGGAACATTCTGAGTGCAGGATCTGAGTCCAGCTGGGTCCTGCTGAGTCCAGCTGAGCCATTAGAGACTGAAGTCTAAGAAGCAGCTTAAACCAGCTGAGATCTTAAAAAGCTTAAAGTCACAAAAACTGTTTTTATTTTTAACTGATCCAGGAGAAGATTAAAGTTTTTTCTTTAATTATTAATAACGAGTTTAAAGACAAAATCTGACGTTAATGTTTCAACTCATTAAGTTACATTAATGTTGATTTAAAATTAAAAACTAGAACTGGAAGAAAAAATGTGTCAAAAACAAAAACCTGAATCCTGCAGTTCATCAAGTCTTTCCTCCTCGGTCCACAAAGACTGACTCAGCAGGGACCAAGACCAGGTTTGACCCCGCAGGACCCCCATCAGGTCCATCCCCTCTAAACAGGTGTAAGAGACCACCCTATGAAATTAGGACCAGCCCAATCTCACAAAATAATCCCTCAAGATCTTGCATTATGAAATCCCAGACAATGATGAAACACCATCCTGATCATGAATGAGAAATGAAAACTTGTGACCTGAACGTATTTCCAAAATAATGTAATTTATTTTTAGATATATGAACAGGATTAAACACACAAACATTTATTAAAAATATTATATGAATAATAAACACAAGTTATATTTCCGACATATGAATTCCACCTCAGAGTTGTCATAAACAGTAAGTTTCAGATGTTGTAACTTACAGGTACGCTGCTTACTAAGTTTTAAATAAAAGAGAATAAAAATAGTAAAGATTAATAGCTTTAAGGATGGGAGGAAAAGAAATTAGTGAATTTAGCACTTGTTCTACATAAGTCAAGACCAGACCAGCACAACAGCATGTCAGACACGACACCTCCGGAGCTAGACTCCACTTTTATCTCAGCAAACGTTTGTTCTACCTTTTAGATGTCTTCAGACAAAGCGGAACAGGCAGGCAGGTAGAAGGGTTTGAGAGTGTCCACATGCGAAGTCCGTGATGGATAATGTCGGTCATGACAGCAGGGGGTTGAGAAGACCCTTCTGTCTCACCCCTAACGAGCCTCCTGGCTCTCGGCGCTGGTCTTAGAACAGTCGCTTCATGGCAGTTAGTAACATCCATCCAGGTGCCCAGAGACGGACACGCACACCTCAGAGAGACCCAGTCAGAACCATGCGTACTCCGACGAACCAACAAGCAAGTGTCAACTGAGTGAACAGAAAGTTAGTTCTTTGAGAGAAAAAAGAGAGAAGAAAAACAATCTGTTTTCCCACACTTGTGGCCAGCTGGTTTTTGTTGTTATCAGCAAAAGACCTTGGAAGTCTGGATAGACAGACAAAACTGACTGTCGTACTTAGAAATCACTTCACTAAGGTTATAAATCACATCAACCACTTTGCACAAATGGATTAATAGTAAAATTAATAGTACACAAT